AGATTAAAATACTTCATGTTATTAAATATAAAAAGAAATTTTTTTGGAGTTAATATTGATTAGTATTTAATATTATAAATTTAATATTATAAAAATAAATTATGTGTTTTAGGTGATGAAGAAACAGAAGTCCAACCATCAAGTTCAGTCACACGTCTTTCTTCAGATGGTAATTGCTGATTATCTCAATATATATTAAAGAACAATGATATCAATATGTTCATATAATCATGCTCATATAATCAGTTTGTTTTATTTCTGATATGCTTAGCATACTATTAATTCAATGAAATATCTTTCAGATATCGATTTATATGGCTTTTGTCCAGAGAGAGATGACTTTTATGGCGTGGTATGTGAAATATGCGATGCCATAGTGAAACCACAAGCTCTCATTCAACATATGGGTATATATTTACATTCTATTGATTGTTAGAGTCATATAATGACTATAGTCAAATTGATTTATGTTTAATACAATTATGTTGATATAAACAAAATAGATTTATTAATAACTTAGGGCATGGTACAATCAATTTCAATTATTAATAAATATAAAGATAAATGTAAAGCAACTTTCTGGCTATACATTAGCTTTGATTATAATACAAAATATATTACATTTTGAAGATTTAATAGAAATATGTTATACAAAATACAATATTTTTATATGTTTCTTAAAACTAGACGATATACATTTATATTTTTAGAAATTATTAATTTATTTAATTTAGTTGGTTAATCTGAATTAAACTTAAATTTTTAAATGATAAAGATAACTTTGTTAAGAAAGATATATATACGTAATCAAATTCGCAATTATGAGATTCGAAACATTCAGTTAAATTGCTAAAATGTTTGCAATTCATTAGCGACTTGTATGCATACTTGCAGGTATTAAACTTCTAAACACAGATCTTCTATTTTGCCACAGAGTGTCGCCATCCTTCCGGCATGGCAAATTTTCCGCCTCCTCCGACCCCAATCGCAAAACCGTCCGTGAAAACTCCTTTCTGCAAAGTATCGAAGCTGAAGAGAAGCACGCAACCATCGGCTCCTTCTCCAGCTTCTTCAATTTCCACTCTTAGTGGCGCAAAGCTGAATCATACGACCGTTAAGCGTACCGCGGATCAAGCGAACTTGTCTGTAGGTGGTTCTTTGCCGATCTCCTCGTCACCTCGGTCGCCTCTCGAGTCGATTCCGGTACAAACTACCTCTCCTAACGTAGCCGGCCCTTCGAATATCGTTATCGCGTCGACTAGCAGCGGAGGCAGCCCAAGCAAAAGTCCTGGTCCCAGCAGTAACAGTAGCGGCGGTCAACCTCGTCGGAAGAGGCTTAAAACGGATCGCTCGTTGCTCAAAGATCGCGAATACGATCCTGACCGTCACTGCGGCGTATGGAACGAGGAGACCGGCAAGCCCTGTACAAGGTCGCTTACGTGCAAGGCGCATACTGTCTCGCTGCGCCGAACGGTCATCGGTCGCAGCAAAACCTTCGACACACTCCTCGCGGAACATCGCGCCGCGAAGGATCCGCCGAATAGCGGTGGTAACCGGCAGACAACGAAGGTGACGGTCTCCGGCACCGTTACCGTCTCTTCAGCCGTTACCGCTGTCACCGCTGCCACATCCAACCTGAATAATCCCCTTGCCCCCAATACTCCAGCATCCATCGTCGATCCGGAAACGCCGAGCTCACCGCCCGTACTATCGCTACCAGACACGTATCCACTGCCAAAGGTAAGCGAACGATTGTCTCTTTTTTTTTGTACTCGTATAATTTTGTATTTAAGATTTTCTCTCGGACACACAAATCTCCTCTCCTTCTTCCCTCCCTCCGTTTCTCCTGTTTCTTGTATCGTCTTCGGTGTGAATCTTCATTTGCCACGCTATTATTACTATTACGATTAGGCTCTTTTTTTGCGCGGGCAATTTGTATCAAAGAAACGAGATTGCTGGCGCAATAATGAAATGAAAGTTTTAATTTGTGTGTATTGAAAGTAAAGTTGTTCTCTTCTGAGTACACACAAATATATTATTTTCGCGTCTAAAAAAAAAAAATGCGAAAGACGAATATGTGGCTTTCTTATTTTCTATCGAAATTATTGTATACGTTTCGATAAGTTTGAGATATTGTGCATGATGTTACTCCTCTTTCTTATTTTGTATTACGCTTTAAAAAGAACTTTCATTTCTGCATACTGTTATAGTGTTGTTGGAAAACTGGCTCGAAGAAGGTAATGTGAAAATATCTCTTTCTGGAAATATAAAGATAAATTCATTTTACTTGATGAAGTTAAACTAACTTTTAAGAGTGTTAGAAATTCTAGTGGTTCCCACTAAATTGAAATCCAGACATATTCCAAGTCAAATAATACCCGAAGAATTTCGCAACTTTCTACATATATATCTTCCACAAATAAATATTAAATTCGATATTTTATATGGATATGTCGTCACTATATTCTTAAAATTATGCTAAAATTATGATTTTAATATTGTGCTTTTAATATCATATTTCATATATTATTTTCAATATATTTATATATTATTTTCAATGTTTATCAAAAGTTTATCTCTGAGTACATTTTTGTACCCCATCAACTTTTCAGTTACAAAATTTATGTTTAATAATTTTTAATAATAAAAGAAGAAAAATTTTTTACATATATTACATATTTTACATATATACATATATTATGATATTTTATATATTTTATTTGCTATAAGCGCCATTTCTTAAATATTTTAGCTGTATGATAAAAAAGATAAATGTTAATGTTGATTAAATTTTTTTAGATACGAGAAATATTTTGTAGTTTTATAGTAAGTAAAAAAATAAATATATATATATATATATATATATATATATATATAAAATAAAGAATTATGCGAATTTGCTGACAAACATGGATCGATCGACCCAATCGAGTCAGCGTCCACGTCCAAACACGACCACAAGCTAGCGCGCGTAAAGACAAAACGCAGAGGGTGTCGGTTGATACTTGTTTTCTGTTTTTGTTATTGCAGGCTGTTGATTTGCTTTATCGGTGTCTGGCCCCGCATGGCTCCACTAAACCTGTAAGGCATGGTTTCTTTTAGGCACTTAAACGCCATTCCTCTTAAGGGATCAATGATTCTTACTCTACGTACTATCATTGCTTCTTTTTTTTAGACTAAACTTGAGGAGGATTTCGTCAATTCGGAAGATTTGCGGAATCTGGAATCTACGCTGGTAGTCAACTCTACAATTGCTGGCAGCAGTAGCAGCAGCAACAGTAGCAGCGGTTCATCGCAACAACAGACAAGTTCGATGATGGCACCGATATCTGTAATGCTGCCATCACTTTCCCCATTACCGGGCGCCAACAATGAAGATTCGTCAGGAGTAGCTACTCTGATACCAAGCACTACCACGACGTCGGCGATGCCAGTCGTACCGGCACCACTGCCAGCCACCTGCATACAACCACCCACGGTAGTTGCCACGGTGCTTGAAGGCGAGACTCCAGTGGACATCGATGCCGAGACCATATCCATGTATTCGCCCGTTTACACTACCAAAGACACGAAATCACAATTACTGATGCAAATACAGTCACGACCAAACAACCATTTGTCGCATTCACCCGTCTCGGTCAGAAGTTATCAGCAGGCTTCCATGCCAAGTATAAACTTGTTCGAACCGGTAGAACAGTTAGAGCAGCAACACGCCAGTCAAATCAATGGCAAGAGACTGAATCACGCCAACTTGACGTCGCGACAACAAAAAAGGCACAAATCGCAGCATGAACAGCTATTGTGCCAATCATCGCAGGATTTCTCAACGTCCGCGTCGATCCAGGTCGAAGCGACGACCACGTCGTCGCCCTATCCTCACTTCGGCGACATCTCCTGGTCGAATTGTCATCCGGAGCCATTGGCGGTTAGCCGATGGCTCCGTATCTCATCCAGCCGCAAACAATACAACTTCAATATTCACTGACACAAGACCCCACCCACTCCGGGCTGAGGACCGTGTGCCGCGGGCGTCGTTTGTCTACCTCTTTATCTTCGTGAGACCTCCTTTTTCTTCACCGCCGCCCACGTCGTCATCATCCTAGTCATCGCCGCCACAGTCGATGCTGCGTCCGCAGCCCGTCGAGGAGGGAAGATTCATGTTTTCATCGTCGTTACACAATGTGAGTACTTCGCGCAACGGGATCGAACGCGATGTATCTGTTCACAGATTGCCCTCAACACTTCCGTCGAGTTTTCAATGCGCAATATGATCTTCCATAATATCGCGCAGCACGAAGTTTTCAGACTCGGATCACTCAGATCATGAGTACGCCGATTGCTGTGGAGCATCGAGGGAGAATTTTCGATCGACGGTCCATAACAATCGTGTATCTGAACGTGTACTTGAACTCGTACGTGGAATTTGACAAAAAAAGAACAGGATGATATCCCAATTCTGTTTACTCGCTGAATTTATAACATAGAATAGATATAAAAAAATCAAGATAAACAGATACGAGAACGATTGAGAGTATGTCTTGATAACAATGAATGAATGAATGAATATCGCGATACTATATAAAATATAAAATTTCTGCACAGAATTCTCGCAATATATCGTATACCATTGAGTGACTTATCATACAGCTCGTGGCGCAGCAGAACATTCCTTCAACTCCTATTTTTGCAACAACGCGCGTCGCGACACCCTCGCAAAGAAAAGATCGAAAAGACGAATTCTTTATTAGATGATTTTTAAGCGCTCTACAAACTAAGAGTTTACAGTTTTTCGTATCTGAAACATTTCTCTTATAAATCGAGTGACATTGCGATTAGGTATAAAATTTTTTGTTAGATCTTCCTATACTAACGCATAATAATAATAATGTATATTTAATACGTCTCAATTCACGTTTGTGATTTCGTAATCATAGTCTAAATTGAAATTATTAAATAGCGATATTATGTATTATTTTTTTTAATCCAAAACTTATTACGCTAGACTTTTTAAAGACTCAAAACTATTTTTTCCTTAAAAAAAATCATGATTTGTGACTTTTATATTCTGAAATTTAGGTTGACCGTATTGCTTCCTTATAAATTATTGCCAAGTTTCAAGAGATTTAATTGAATGAAAAATTGATAATTGCAAAATTTTATCAAATAAAGTTACAAATATGCAATTATTTTTCACAGTATACAATGCATTTTTTTATTGAATTGTGCATAAATTTTGTAAATATATAATCATAGATTACACTTGTCCCGTATTGTACATAGACAGGCATTTCTGCTATATAAACATAGTCTTTGCGGAGAAAAAACTGACTTATTTCTTCATAATATGGACAGCATGTACATACTGTATATACATATATATTTTTTTTATTGATCACGATCTCTTATCCCTTTTGCATATGTGTGTACTCCGAGAATACGAAGCGCCATTATTTAACAGTTATATTCGCTTCTTTCTTTTTACCGTTTTTGCCATAAGGATATAATAGAAATTGTAGCTTCAAATGATCTATTTTTCAACATTATGAAAATTGATTTTACTCTATATTATTTTGAATTTCATGGCGAGATGAGACCAGTTTGTAATGCGAATGCAAACAGAGACAAATCGAATACAATCTTAACCAAATAATTTGCTTTTTGATATATAAATTGAAGAGGCCAAATATGGATAAAAATTAATTCTGAAAATTTCATTTGATCTTGAATTGATATATAGGATAAATGTCAGAAATGATAATTTATCTTTAAAAAAAAAAGAAAAACTTTTATAAAGATGTGATAATTGTACTTGCCCGTTCAATAATAATTTGTTTTCATCTCCGCTTACTGAAACGAACTTACTGGTAAAAGCCCACATAAATCTATGAAAACGACCGTGTGGCACGATCGATTATTGCATTAATTAAAGTGCTGATAAAGTCCCAGATTTTTATTCTTTATAGGATCCTCCTATAAGAAATGAACGAAATTTTCATGTGTAAATTTTATAATGTAACTGATGTAACGTGCTATAATGTAATTGAGTTACTGCATGCCAATCAATAATGATTATATCATTATTGAATTGTGACGTATTCATAACATATATAAATGAATTAATATATTAATTATTCATATATATGTATTATAAAATTGTCACAAGTTTTTTTTTTTTACTACAATTTCTTTTCTGCGATTCAGATTTATTTTATTTTTAGCGCTTGTTTATAAAACAAATGATCGATCGCTTCGAATAAATCGTAGGCATACCACGTAGGTTTGCACGCGGACCTAAATAGACAGATTAGTGAGCTACAAGATCCCGCTGTATTCACCCAAGACGATTATTTATTTTTGTACGTACTCGTTAATTTGCATCTCTGCACGCAATTTTCCGATGGGTGAAGAACGCGCGGATAGCTAGCGATGCGGCAAGGCGCATATACGCGGACTTCTTATCATAAATTGTGATATTTAACTATTAATAATTAGAATAATCGTAGACGTGTCTCTTTGTGTTCGGCAGCAGGAACGTAGCGCATTCTGTTTTTTTTTTTTTTTTCTGATGGCACGTCTTGTGCATAAGAGGCGTTTTCCATGTCTCATTGGTTTCGCCTTGACATTAGAAAAGTAAGAAAAAAAAAAAAAAATCTAATTCTGCGGAAGCAATCTACATTGTTCCGCTTAATTGTTGCTCGCGTTAATAAATGAATTTCTTATTGATAAGCATAG